CTCCCCAAGTTGGTAGTGGTCAGAGTGTTTTGTCACAGCAATGGAGAAACAAACTAGGACACCTCCCCAAGTTGGTTTTGGTCAGTATTTTTATCACAGCAACAGAAAAGTGACTAATACAGTAATTGGTACCAGGAGTGGGGTGTTGTCTGTGAAGAACCTGACCATGTGGGGTTTTGAAGAAATGTGGAAGACTTTGGAAGGTTGGGCTAGAAAAGCGGTTGATTGCTGTAAGCGGTGTCAGTGTTTCTATCACAGCAACAGAGACGTGACTAATATCCCTGTCGCCAGAGTTCTCTCTGGGTCTCTTGCACTATTAGGCAAACCATAAAACATATCTTTGTGTACATTTATTATTATTGTGTGCTGGGGGAGTGACTTACAAAGAAATGAACACCCAGTGGCTAGCTCCACACCACTCTGCGGGCTCAGAGCCTGCCATATCAGATAGCTCCCACAGCATGCCCATAGTCAAGTCTAGCTTTCACCCATGCCTCAGGGGCCAACGGTCTTGCCCCAGGTCCTTAAGTGCCAGGTCATTCTGTTCTTGAGTACACCCAGCTGCTCTGCATTCCCCATGACTGCCTCCTTGCATTCCTGGTGGCTCATAGCTTCAGTCCCAAGATGGCGCCACAGGCCCCTCCTTCTGCGGTTAACTCTCCACAGTCAATTCTCTGCAGCAGGCCCCTGCCCCTTGGAGGAACCAGGACCCCTGAGGAACACAACCCCTATATCCAAAGTTAAAGTGGAAAAGGATGCTGTTTTGGAGCTGAGGATCTAGTTTAGTAGTAGTGTTTATGCTTAATATCTATGAGGCCCTTGGTTCCATCCCCATCACTAAAAAGCCCCAAACTCAAAAACCAAGAAGGGTATTTACATCTTCTATGTTCACTTTGGCAATACACATAATAAAAATGGGATGATACAGAGATTAGCATGTCCCTGAGCAAAGAGGACAGGTGAAGTTGTGAATCATTCCATATCTTAAAAAACAAAACAGTAGACTTTACTCCCTATTATGACTAAACTACTTCTTTAATTCCAGCACTTATGTAGTCTCCCAAGGGGAGGAAGGACAAGGTTGTTCCTTCAACCTCTGGCTCAGTGACGGCCACTACCACCTCCTTCTGCCACTGGACAGCCTAAAACTTGGCTTACAGACAGCCCAGGGTGAAGCAGTGACTCCAAATTTTCTATCCTAAGCCAGGCACTAGAGGACATTTTGTTTCCTATGGCATTTCTAAGCCACATTATATATATGAATAAAAAAAACAGCCTGATGAGGCTGGTGAGAAGGCTCTGGGGTTAAGAACATTGACCTCTCTTGCAGAGGACCCAGGTTTGGTTCCCAGTACTCACATGGTGGCTTACAACCATCTGTAACTCAAGTGCCAGGGGATTCAACCCCCTCTTCTGGCTTCTGCTGGCATTGCACACATGAGGTTCACTTAACATACATGCAGTAAAACACTCATACATGTAAAATAAATGTTATGATGTTGTTTCACCAGAGAAGACCACTCAGACATAGAAAAATATGCCAAAAGAAAGTCTTCATATATTTTTTAGCCAGCCAGTGACTACACTGGGCATTCAGTTCCCAAGTGCATTCCTGAGCAGTCTTTAGGGTAGCTTTTATACATAAAAACTACATCCAGGGGTGAAAATTTTAACTTCCCAAGCTTAGAGGTGGAGAGCCCCCCAACAATTTCTATAACAATTACTATTCTGTAAGACAATTACTATTCTGCAAGAGCAAGCCAAGCAAAAAAACAAAAACAACAACAAAAAAAACCCCACAGAAGCCATAAATCTGCAGTTAGCAGGAGCCACTAGGGAAAGGCTGACCTGTTTCCACACCCTGGGCCAACTGCTTTTTAGTTTCAGAGGCCAGATTCAGCCTTGACTTCAACATGGCATAGCTATGGTCAAGAAAGTGCTGTATCACATAAAAATAAATAAAATATTAAAAAGAAATCCAGCCTGACTCTTAGCATCCATTTTAAGGCAAAGAGCAAACCCAAGTTGCTAAGAACTTACCCTTCAGATTTCTCTCAGAACTATTGTCTTGAGCAAGGTCTTCCTTTATTTTTTATTGAAACAGTATCTCTAACATAAAGTGGGGAAGTAAAAGTAAGACCCACCTTTATCTTATCAGAGAATTTTGCCCTTTCTGATTCCTAGACCAATACGCACACATGCACACACACACACATGCAATATTAAACAGGTGTTAGAAATTTCTCATTACTTGCTTTCAATGAGATAAACTTGCTGTTTGCAGCACTTTACTGCTTTGATATGTAAAAACATGAATACCCATATTCAAGTACTATCTTGAGTGGAGATCAAAGAAGGGTCCTGATGGATTAAGGGATCACAAGAAGAGCACGTGGCTCAGTGAACCCATTTACATGACAAACCATAAGTTTTTGATTGCAAGGTTAGGTAAAAGTCATTAGTCCGGATTAAGTCCATATTGCAAAAGTAATTCCTACAGTCTCCCAAACATGTCTACATTTATCTTTGAGCTTCTTGAATCCTGTGGGTTGAGAGAGGTCGTGGATGAGGGAAGTGGTAAGGAAAGAGTGCTCCATTAAATAAGGCTTTGGGTGGGAGACTGAAGAGACAAAGAAAAATTCCTTCTAAGTGACATTTTATTCTCCATTTTCTAGTGCCCTAAAATTTTATTTACAAACTCAAAAATTTCAGAGCTCCCTAATGTAATACTGCTACAATTTAAAATTCCTCATTATCAGGCAATACATAGTGCTTATGGAGAACCTGCCAGGTGTTCACAACTGTGCTGGACAGCAGGGCATGATGGAATTCTGAGACCTGGAGTAAAACAGGCCAAGGCTGCAATACCACATGATTCATACAGGAAAGGCTTGGGTTCGAAACTGTAGCCTTGTATCTTACCTCTGTAACCGGAAAACAAAATCTTCCGCCAAAGGCTCATTTACTTTAGGATTGTGGGAGATGTTGCGTATGGCCACAATTTGCTACTTTACAAACATTCGTTATAATCATGACAGACAGGAACCTCAGAATCCATGCAGGCTAGGGGTTCGCACTCTGACTCGTGGACAGAAATCTGTTCTTCAGCATGGTTGTATCGTGGACACTCACTCCAAACATTTTGTTTTAAATTTTTATTTACTGTGTATATTGCATGTGGAGGTCAGAGAACAACTTCCTGGAGTTGATTCTCTCCTTCCAACATGGAGGTTTCCAGGGATCAAACTCAGGTCCTCAGACTTGGCAACAGGAGCCTCTACGCACTGAATCATCTTCCTAGTTCTTCACATATTATATTTAGAAAGCTTCAAACTTACAAAGAAATGGAAAGAACACTACAATGAACATTAATACACCTTTGACTTACTTTTACCAGTCTTTAGCATTTTGTTATATCACCTAATTTGTTTTTTCATGCCAGGACTCAAATCCAGGGCCTCACACATTATAGGCATATGTTGCACCACTAAGATCCATCCCCAGGTACAGCCCTTCTGTTTTCAGTCTTTTCACAAAAACATACACTTTGATAACTTTATGTGTTTATATAATGCATTCTGATCACACCCTTCCACTTTCTCTTACCCCCTCCCACCCTCATTTATCCCCCTCCCTGTAAGTCTTCCTCCCACTTTCATTTTGTTGTTGTTATTTTGCTTTGTGACCCACTGAAAACAACTGTTACTTAAGGAGTGACAGTTTGGTAGTCAATTTTGGTACTCTATTTTCAGTGTTGGTTTACTGCTAGATAGTCACTATTATTGTAGACAGAACTCGACCCTCAGAGGAGGTCTTGGAATAGAGTCTGGTACCCTGAACACTAGTCTAAAAGAGGAAGGTGTCACTTTAACCCCACTACAATCTAGTCTCTCCTGAACACTGCAAACACCTCCAGTTTAAGAAAGGCAACCTGAATTCGACAACAGTGAATTTAAACAAGTGATCCAACTTCAGAAGCACAGATCCCAGTGCGAAAACACAACATGGAAAACCAAGGCAACATGTCGCCTTCAAAAATTATCATTCCTAGAGTAACCTCCACTGACAGTGCACCAAATGAAACTGTGAAGAAAGAAAGAAAAATGACAATTGTAAATATGTTCAAAGAAGACATGAATAAACTGAACAAATTCCAAGAGAACACAAACAGCTGAATGAAATTAAGAAGTCAAATCTGGGGCTAGAGAGATGGCTCAGCGAGATGGCTCAGTGGTTAAGAACACTGGTTTTTCTTGCAGAAGACCCAGGTTTGAATCCCAGCACCCACATGGCAGTTAACAACTGTCCGTAACTCCAGTTCCAGGGGATCCGACAGCCTCTTCTGTCCCCCACAGGTACTGCATGACATGGGTGTACTTACCTACATACAGACAATGCACACATACACATAAAATAAAAATAATAAATAAAATATATTTTAAAAAGTCAAATTAGGATATGAAAATAGAATTCACTAAAGAGATAGAAATACTGATAAACTGAAATGGTGATAGAAATGAAAAATTCAGTAAGTCAAATAATTTCAGTGGAAACCTCACCAATAGAATGGATCATGTGGAAGACAGAGTATCAGAGCTTGAATACAAGATAGAGGAATTGGATCATTTAGCCAAGGTCAATGATACATTGTTTAAAATCTATGAGCAGAACATGAAAACTTTGGGGGCACCATAAAAGGCAAAAATCTATAAATTATGAGTATAGAAGAGGAAGAAAAATTTCATCCCAAAGGCATAAAAAATAATAAAGTCATAGAAAAAATTCCAAATCTAAGGAGATTCTCATAGAGATGCAAGAGGCCTACAGACCATCAAGTAGACAGGACCAGAAAAGAAACTCCTCATATTGTAGTATGGCTAAAATACTGAATACGTAGAGCAAGAAAGAGTAGAAAATTGCAAGAGAAAAAGACCAAGACACATATAAAGGCAGGCCCATCAGAATAACAGATGGGTTTTCATTGGAAAATTTAAAAGCCAGAAGGGCTTAAAAAGATGTATTTCCAATTCTCATAGATCATAACTGCTAACCCAGACTAATATAAACAACAAAGCTATCTGTCATCATTGAAGGAGAAAGAAAAACTTTCCATGATAAAAACAGTCTAAAGAAATTTATGGTTGGGGCTGGAGAGATGGCTCAGCAGTTAAGGGTACTGACTGCTCTTGCAGAGGACCCGGGTTCATTCCCAGCACCCACATGGCAGCTAACAACTGTCTGTAACTCCACTTCCAGGGGATCTGATGCCTTCTTTTGACATCCGTGGGCATTGCAAGACACGGGTACAGTTATGCACGTGCAGGCAATACACTCATAAAAATAATAAATAAAATATTAACAAAAAGAAATTTATGATCACCAAGCCAGTCCAACAGAGGATACTGGAAGGAATACTTTGAACTGAAGAGAAATAAACACATCCAAGAGGTTACAGAGAATGAAATAAATGACGGTTGTTAAGAGGACTGGGGAGCTGTAGAGATGGATTAGAAAACCAGACCCTTTCTTTCTTGCTACCGCCAAGAAACACACTACTGAAGGACGAACGAGCCATGAAAGAAATCAGGAAAATCAGAAAGTTCCTGGAGCTGAATGAAAATGAAAACACAGCATACCTAAGATTATAGAATACATTGAAACAGTCCTAAGAAGGAAGTTTATAGCTCTAAGTGTCTTCATTAAAAAATTAATGATGCACCTGAAGGCCTTGGAAAAATGAGAAGAAACGAAACTCCAAAGTAGTAGATGGCAAGTAATTATAAAATCAGGGCAGAAATAAAGCCAAGCATGGTGGTACATACCCTTAATCCTAGCACTCAAGAGGCATAGGCAGGCAGGTGTCTGTTGAGATTCAGACTAGCTGGAGATACAGAGAGGCCCTGTCCAAACAAACAAACAAACAAAAAGGTAGAAATAAAAATGAAAATACAATAAAAAGAACATGTGAAGAGTTGGTTCCTTGAAAA